TAAGAATTCACTATCTTCTTCACAAGCTCTCATATCTTCAGTCAGAAGTATTTTCTTATAAACAACTTATAAGTTCTAGTATCTATAAAATAACCTGCTAGAGAAAAGTCATGATACCTTTTAATAAGTTCTATATATAGAAACTTATTCATAGATATATAAATTCAGTTCTCTCTTTACAAGAGATTATTTAAGTTTCTTTAATTCTTTATTTCTGTAGAATTGATTTCTGCTGTGAGCAGTTTCTGAATATACTGAGTATATTTATTCTTCAGTTACAGTTCAGATAATCTGAATAGAAGATTTTGTAAAGACTTATATTCTGTTTTCTCTTATATCAGGTCTTCTGCAGTACTTCTTAAAGGCTGTAAATTCTTCAGATTATAGATACTCTCTTCAAGAATTCTTATAAAGATTCTCAGAGTGTTAACTCTCAGTATTATAAGAAGTAGTTATACAGACTTCTTCTCTTTCTCTCTCTTCTTCTCTTACAGAGAATTGAGAGACTCTTCAGTTAATCTCTTTATAATACTCAGTCTGAGTATTCTGTAAAGTATTTCTGTCTTCTCTAGTCTCTGTATATCTATTATTCTGATCTTCTTAACATAGTCAGATCTGTGAGAGAGTTTATTCACTAAGTTCTTAGTTCTCTTAATATGCTCTATCTTGAATCAGAACTTACTCAGTCTCTGAGCTCAGCAGATCTACTGCTATAAGAGTTTCTTAGTTGAAGTAAACTATTATAAGCTGCTATAATCAGTTCTAACAGTAATTACTGTTATAAAACTCTTAAAGTCATAATATCAGTGATGAAAGAATTTCACTATTATAAAAAGCTTCTGATTATTAATACTATAGTTAATCTCTATGAGTTATATCTTTTATAAGAAAAAGATCACTGAAATTCAGTTCTTATTTAACTGTAGTTGTTTGACTATTTCTGAAATTGTAAAGAAGAAGACATCTATCTTCAATCTTATTAAGAGTAAGAGATCAAAGTAAAACAGTATCACTGTATCTATGAATATCTATTTTAATCTTATAAAGACTCTATGAGCTTCTGAGATAAGAAAGTTCTCACAGCTCTTTCTTCTTAACAATCTTTTCATTCTTTATTTATGATATGACTTCTTCTTATTTTCATTCTTCAGCATGTCTGTAAGAGCTCGGAAGATTCTTATGAATATAAAGATAAACTGTCTATAAAAATTCACAAAGCTCAGAAAGATCTGAATCTTATAAATACTAATTGACTCTAATTATAATAGAATAGTCTCAATCTGTGAAGATTTTGTCTGAATTTCATCTGTGATAATTATATATTCTAGAAAATTAATCTGACAGACACTGAAGTTGCATTTCATAAGCTTAATATATAGTTCTACCTCATTTAGAGCCTTCAATCAACAAAAAATTCCGAACCGCTCCACCACGAACTCGCTCCATTTTTCGAATAAGAACCCGCCGATAGATCCATTGAAAAGCCCTCAATCATACGAGCATTTTGACCCCATCGCTGACCACATACCCCGTGTGGTAGTGGAGCTATCCAGCCAAACGTGAACCAGACATTGTTCAAAACTCCAGTGTGGGATTATCCCCCGTTCACCCCTACCCCACCACAACCCCGGGCCAAAGTGCCATACAAATTGTAAGGTGAAGAGACCTAGTCATATGCATCAATCTTCTTGATTTTGGAAGATCCCTGATCTGTAATTGTGGAGATATCTGAGAAGCAACTTCCGCGAAAACCCTGTCTATCTTTGATGTTTCAAAACATCAATGCCAAGTCTCACTCACATAGTTACCGCCCTTCCCAATCTGGCCCACCTCCGGCAGAAAGATACAAAAAGATACCTCAACAATACTATCAAGCACATAATTAACAGACACATCTAAAGTGCAACCTTCACATCTGTTGTTGATGTATCAAGACATCATCACCAAGTCTCACTTGTGTATCACCCTGTCCAACCTGGCCTATCTCCAGAAGAAAGATACAAAAAGATACCTTGTTAAAAGTATTTAATACATAATTGACAGACATAACAAGTATAAAATCAGTATATCTCAAGGTCTGACTGAGCCTTTGATCCCTGTACAGTGAGATATATTAAATCTAGTTTTAATACCTTAATATTCAATAGATTCTGCAAGAGATTGAGAATAGCAACACTAGGTTTCTATTGAATTTAAGAATTAACTCTATATTAATATAATCATTGACAAAGTCTTCTATCTTAAGATATAAATAATCAGTTCCTCTACATCCTGCTGACAATATTTATATTATTATATAGAAACAGGCTTATATTCTCTATAATATCAAGATTCTGAAGAGGAAAAGTCTTGATAAAGAGTATATAGTAGAGTATATCTTATGTAAGAGACCTACGCTGAATAGATCGGTATAATATTATAGGTCTTATATAACAAAGAGAAAAATGTTAAAGAAGGAAAAGAAAGAGAAAGTATGAGAATCAGTGATTGAAGTGAATATTTATACATGTATGTGATGGTGTATGCGGTGGAGCTTCAGAGTGAAAGAATATACACATGTTCATAGTGGCCGAGAATCAGTGATCAGAACATACATGTTCATGATAACTGAGAATCAGTGATCAGAAATGAGGTGATAGAAATCTATGAAGTGTACAGAATAGTCTATATAATTGATCAGATACAGCTTATTATATTAGCTTCTCTCTTTCAGAAGCAGTTCTCATCAGTCAAGAACTGCTGTTTCAGATAACACAGAACTCAGAGTTCAGATCAGTAGATTATAACTGACTCATTTCATAAGATATTATCAGCTACAGCTGTGTGATCTCTTATTAAGAATATCTTCAATCTCTCACTCAAGCTCATTATCTTCTTCTATGATTCCTGACAGCTGTCAGTCAGAAGTCAGTTGAGAAGAGAATGAATCAGTGATAGTGCAGTGAAGCAAGCTTATATAAAAGATATTATGAATTTCTGATAATGTATCAAGACAGTAGTTATAGCTATCTAGAACTTCTATTACTTTATACTTAATATGATAATAATTCAGTGTATGAGATGAACATGTGATCTGTATATTCTTAAGATTCAATTATACTAAGTCTTCTATCTTATACTGCTCAGTGAGATCTCGGAGAACATTGATTTAATTCTCTTAATCTTGTTTTATAATTGTTATGAAGACTTCTACTCAGTTATAAGTATCTCAGAGCTTCATTACTATATTATCAGTGATCTGAATTAAACTGCAGAGATTAGACTGACCGTGTGACCGTGTCTGAGACCAGGACCAAACTTTACAGTTGTCATGTTGCCTAAAAGCATTACTCCTGATCATGGTTTGTGTTCATCACATTGATTTCAAATCATGTTATTTCAAATATTAAAGATCTCAGATTCACTTTTCAAATAAAAATCTAGTCTCAGATAAAGAATATGTTTGAATTCTTAGTCACATTTTCATTCTGATCTCATTATTGAGAATGGCATTAAATGAGATCATGAAATCATTTCTCACTTACATAATATTATAACATAGTGCTCATTTGTTGAAAATTCAACAGAGAGTGTTATCAAATATTATTACTTTTCTGAAAACAGATCATAATTCATATAATTTTAATTATGAAAAAAATATAAAATACAAAAAAAAACAAAAAATAAAAAACAAAACAAACACAAGAAAAAAAAGAAAAGGAAAAGAAAAAAACAAAAAATAAAAATAAAAAAAAATCAAGATTGCAGAGCCATAGCACTCTTAAAATACTCACTTCTCAGAGTCTTTGTAATATTCATTACCAACTGTGTATCTCTCACAGTGAGAGTAACACAGTCATGATAAGTCATTGCCTTAACATCATCTAATAAATAATCAGTATATATCTGTATAAATGTGAATAATTAGAAAACATACACTTAAAAAGTGTGGCCAGAGTGAACTCTGCTGTCACTTGAATGACATCAAGAGCAGAATGCTGGAATTGATAATTTCTCTCATCAATTTCATGAACAAGACATGTGAAGATGATCTTGAGAAATATAAGATTTCTCAACTTCTAGTAAAAATGAATCTCACAGAGAGACTCTATTTTCATGATATCAGAGACTGAGTATTATCAAAAAGTGTTACTTTTATACAATGCATATACACTTACTGCAGTGATTCATTCTCTGTGTATGTGACTGAGAGTTGCAGCTTTCTCACACTGCATGACTCTTTCTGAGATGCTGCTGTCAGTTTGTAATTCACACAGTCTCTCAGTTCAGCACACACTGCGCATATGCAGCCCTGCATGCTGGGGCTGTGTTAGTCATTATGGCCTGGTGTGGTACTCACTTTTCGTGAGTCATGTTTTGTTTGAGAAGGAGGGGAAAGACACAACTGTTATTTTATTAAAGAGAGAATGAATAATTAGTATTATTGAATATAATTTAATTCATCTGTATTTAAAATTTAATTAGTCTATACTCTTCAATTTGAGAGTTTCTATGAGTGTTTTAATAGTTTTCATACCAGCTTGAACTTAGTGATGAATTGAAGAAGAAGAGAAAAGAGAGAAGAAAGAAATGAGAATAACTTATCTTTATAATATGAAAACAGAGAATTGCTGCAATCATTCTCTCTAGTAATAAAGATCTGTTTTCTGCATGTATCTCTGATATAGATTATATGATAAATGCATACAAAGAATATCAATAGTACATGTATTGAATGAAGATAATATTGCTATGTAACACTGTAGTCATTTCTGTACATCTCTGAAAGCTGTTAATAGTTTCTTTATCTCTTTATGTTTAATAAGTCAATAATATACTCTGATGCACTTCTTATTTCATCATCATCATTATTATCATCATTATCATTATTATTATCATCATCATCATCATCATCATCATCATTATCATCATCATTATCATTATTATCATCATTATTATTATCATCATTATCATATCATTGCCTGCCTTCACTTCCTTCTCAACACTTATTAAAATCAATCATGTCATCTCTCTTTAAATATTCTGCAGTCCTGCGGATCATCAAGGCACATGAGTGCTGTCACAGATTGAAGAGAGAGAAGAAGAAGGTGTTCAAGTATGAGAAGACAGATTACAAGACATGTTATAATGCCTTGAAGAGGCTCTGTAAGAGAGTAGAATGATAACAATTTTAAGTAATACTTCTGATAGATTTAGACTGAACTAAGTATAGAAATAATGCAGATGACACTGTCTGTGAGAGATTGAAAAAGAAGACAGTGAAGAGTCTCATGCAGTAGTGATGAGATCAGGAGAAGTTCTGAGAATGATTTGAGATCAAGATAAAGAGAGAGAGAGAGAAGAAGAGTGTTACTACAAATAAGCAGTGATAGAAGAAGATTGAGAAGATATTGAAGTAAGAGACAAAGAAGTCAAAACTGATAAGTTTTTTATTGAGAGATAATAATTTTTGATAATACTTCTATTCTCTAATTGATTAGCAGGAGCTGGCAGAGGAGGGAATTGAGGCCTTGTTCAGGTCTCAAATATGCTTCATGATTCAGAACATTGAGAAGACAGCTCTGCTCTCTGAGCATGTCAATCTGCTTACTGCTGAGGTGGAACCTGAGGCAGCAGATCAGAAAATGCAGGATTTTGAGATGCAGGTTGACCTGGCTGAGAGAGAGCAGTGAGAACCCTTCTCTGAGAAGGCAGCAGAGAAAGATTTTAAGATGATTATCATCTCAGATAAGAAGAAGAAGAAGAAGAATAAGAATAAGAAGTGAATTGTGAAGAATGATGAGAAGAATGAGAAAGAGAAGAAAGATAATAAGTAGAAAAAGTTTTTTTCTTTTTATATTAGATAGTTATAAGTTTGTAACTATTAGTTAATAATTGAAATTAATTTTAAGTTTTCAAAAATTATTGTACAAGTTGTAATCAATTATCAATATCAGGAATAATATATATATATATATTTAACTATCATATCACTATAATGTATAAGTATCAACATTTTTTCAACATTGATATTCATAATATTAATATATTTTTAATAATATCATCTGATAACACAATTTGATAACACTCTCTTTCATAATATTAATATATTTCAAGAAATATGACAGAGATTAATCAAGATTATTTATTTACTTTTATACATTGATGATATTCAATCTGAGTTAGTACTAAAATTATAACTAAGCTAAGAAAGAAGATTATTTTCTCTTATATTAATTCTTCTTACACACATCAGTGATCAGTTATTAAAAATAAATTATCATCTTTTCCAAATTATTATTATATCTTCTGAATTCACTTCTTTCACTTATTTTACTTCTATTGAAGATTCATAAACTCTTTAAGAAATCAATGTGAATCACAAAGTCTATGTTATTTACAATTCAACACACAATACTCTCTTTCAATTATAATGAATAATCACTTCATTCTTCATATCTGATTTCAGGTCACAAAATTTATGAATAACTCAATATAAACACTGAGATAAACTATGAAATAATTATCAACAGATTGTATTACAGATTACTGAAGAGTCATCTCTCTGCTACAATCACTGTAACTTCATTCAGAAACATTTATTATAAACTAGTCATGACTCTGAAGAAATTTCCTGACATCTGAAGGCATCAGAATGCAGACAATAAAAGAAAAATAATTAGAAAATTACTACTGAGCTGGTAAGTTACTCTACTAGATAACAATTTTTGATAATGCTAACTTTCTAATTTGAAGAAAATCATATGAAAATGATCATGTATCAGTACTCTGATTTCACAACTCTCATCTGATAACTTCTGTGAATAATTACTTTGTATATGTATATCTCTGAATCTTTCTCTTCAATCAATTGAAAACTCTGAATTCTGAACACTTCTTCAAATGCTTAATTCAAATCTTCATATTTCACATTAATTCTGTCTTCAGTTCAACCTTGAGACACACTACAAAGTTAATATACAACATCTAGAATCAGAGTTGAAGAATCATCAAAGAGTATCTCTCACAGTGAATGCATGAACTAGTACAAACAATCTTGTATTTATGAGAGTTATATGTTATTATATTGATAGGAACTAAACTTATCAAGAGACATTAATTTAATTTGAATCATTGATCAGTAGTCATACTGAGAATTATATGACAGAGATATTAATGACTGTGATTAAAAATGACTATTGAGATATTAGTCTCAGTCTTCTTGCAATTACAACTGACAATGCTGCGAATAACTACACTATAATGAACAGCTTGAAGTGAAAATTGGCTTTGCATTTCTGAAATGATAAACAAGGTCATATTCTCTGCATTGCTCATGTGGTTTAACTTGTGATACAAACACTGATAAAGAATCTTAATATCAAGATAAAGAATAATGAGATGACTGATTCTTGAGATGAGAATGAGATGAAAGTGATTACTCAAGTAACTTTTGCATTCACTTTACAAAAGATAATGTTTTTTGATAATACTTTTTAATATTGCTTTTTGATAATGCTTTTTGATAATGCTGTGATTCGGAAGAACGTACGACCGTCGGATAATAACGCGGCCGCTTCCGAACTACTAGTGTACGCGTATGAGTGTAAAAGGGGCCATAGCGGCTGCTAATTAATTTAGCGTACGATATTACAATATATAAGAAGCCAGCGTATGCCTGTAATTGTACACTGGCTTAAGCAACCTTTGAATCACATCTGGTAGCATGTCTAAAAACTGGTGAGAAGCGCAGGCTTCTTCAGGGCGTGATAATTCTATCTACAAAGTGATTCATAGTTATCATGCCAGTGTGGTTCTAGAACATCTCAAAAGATAGCATACAAAGGACAGTGAGTGAAAGAGCATTCAATTGATACTGCTTCACTTGTTGGGAGAAAACTCCATATCCAGGCAAATGCCACATATGGGACGCGAACAGATGAGGTGTGAGAAAGAAGATAAGAGTGATGAACCAGATTCAAAGAAGTTCACTTCCTACTCAAAAGAAGAATAAAAGAAGAAGTGATCATCACTGAAGTTGTACAATGATAACAGAAATCATATAACAATATAGTGATATAATAATAGATATTATACAATCAATGAGAAATCACTGAAATAAATATCTTTTCTAGCTGATATGAACAACACTCTTCTCTGCTATCTGAACTGAAAGATATACAGAACCTCTCAGAGGGTTTACTCAAAGTAGTAAGAAAAACAGCTGAAATCACTGAACTGAAATCAAAGCTCTGAACATATACAAGGATTCTAAACAAGATCAAGGTCTTATGTACATAATAGCAGCCTGAGACAGAAGCTAAACAACAATTGACATTTGCTGTGAATCAAGTATTCACTATGAAGAGCTTTGCTGACACAATTATCATCATTAATAAGAATAGAGAAAACCAGATCTTAGATCTGCAGCAGGAAATTAAATGTTTATACAGACAGATAACTACACTGAACCTGAAGATCTCATCACAATTGTTTATAACCTCTTCAGAAGTATACATATCATCAGAGATCACTGTGCAGAATGAGAATCTGAGTATGAGATATATCAAGTCAGAAGATCTGCTGAAGTCATCAAGCTTTAATAGTGACTGAAAAAATAATGCTGCAATCAGCTGGCTAAGTCAGATGTGATTATATTATTGAATTGAACATGAACTCACAGATAGACAGTTAACAGAATTTTAACAAGTCTTAAGATCTGCTGTATTTCTACATGAAAAAGTGAAGTTATTATAGATGACTGATGAAAAGATGAATCTTACAGATCTGAAGTAATATTCATTTTCACAAACATGAAATGAGTTTTTCAAATAAATCTTGCATAACTTTGAGAAAGTGAATGTATGAGATAAGTGTTATAAATACTTCACTAAGTATAGATAAGTAAGTAATCTTACATTATACTTCACACACTTCAGCTTATACTATCTTATATTAAATGAAGAGCTTTCAATATCATTCTGTTTATAGATCTTCATTCATGATCTTACATCTGAGTTGAGAGCAGAATGAAAATGCTTAATCTCACAGTCAGACACAGTGAAGAAAGCATATAATATTCTCATTGTATAGAAATAAGTGAGTCAATTGCAATAGAAAATACTGTAATCAAGTATATCTCAGTAAAGAACAGATAATCAGACTTCTATAACATAAGTTATACATCTGAATGTAATGAATCTAGATCTGAATATCATTGCTAAAGCACTGAATTCTCTGAAAAAGAGATTCTGTAAGTGAAAACCTTGATGTTGTAAGCATTGAGCTTGCTTCAACTGTGAACATCAAAATCATGATGTAAAAGATTACACTCAGCATACACAGTTAAGAGAAGTAAGAGAGTTAAAAAACTAGCAGAATCAGTGAGCTCAGAGACACTCACTGATATTCTATGAAAAGTCTTTAAAGTGAAAGAGATGCCTGCATTAGATAACTCTCTGAATCCTGCAAATGTCAAGAGAAAGCAGGCTTCTGACTGAGATGTGAGTGAGAATGAAGTGAACACTCATCTCAATGTCTTAAGGCCTGAAATGTTAATGTATAAGAGATACTTGAGTAAGAATTGAGAGATGACTGTAAAAGTGTTAGCAGATACAGAAGCTTCTACACAATATATTAATAATTATATAATCTGAAGATTGAAAGAGATCTGCTGAGTGAAGAATTCTCAATATATAAGATTATCTGATAATTAATATCTGATATCATCTGCAAAAGTAAGAGTTCTCTTGCACTTCAGAGAATAATCTTGCTATATTTAAGCATGAGAGCTGCAGAATGTGAAATATGACCTTATTCTCAGACTCAATTGATTTCAAAGGTTTAATCTGCAGATTCAATGATGTACATGTCATATGCAGTTGACTGATAGGAAGAAAATGATTCATACAATTCTATCAACTGATATGAGAAGAACATTTCATGTCTCTGATATAGAAGAGTTAAATCTGCTTACACATTAATAAGCAAAGAGAACAATTTACAAGATCTCATCTGAAAGCATCCTGTATATCATACAGGATCTGAAAGTGGAGAAAACTAAGATAAAGAATATATAAGAGGACAAGTGTATGAAGAAGCTTCTGAAGAAGTATGAAAAGGTCTTTCAAACAGATCTTTCACTGAAATTACTGCTGGAATGAGGATTTGTACATGAGATTGACATGAGGGATGCAAAACCAGTCAATCAGAATGTGTATTCTCTGTCACAAATACATCTTGAAGAACAGAAGTATCAGATCACAGATCTTCTAGACCATAGTCTCATACATCTCTCATCAAGTGTGTGAGGCTTTTCAGTTCTATTTGTGAAAAAGGCAGGTGAGGAGTGACAGATATGTATCAATTATCAAGCACTTAATAAGCTTATGATTAAGAATGAATATTCACTGTCATGAATTCAATAACAGTTGAATATGATCAGAAACACTTAATATCTCTTAAAGATTAATCTTCTCTCAGAATACTGACAGATCTGTGTAGACAAACTGTCAGTTCTGTGAACTGTATTTAATATGCAATGAGAGAAGTTCAAATTCCTGATAATATTATTCAGTCTGATAAATGCATCTGTCATCTTTCAAATAATAATGAATACAATTCTTCATAAACAGAATGAAACCTCATACCTCATATATCTCAATGACATTTTAGTCTTTTCAAACTTATATAA